AATATTGACAATTTATTGGACTCCATTACATCTGTATAGAAAAGGACTGTCAAAAACAGCATTTTGTTGGAGATGTAATAAGGACAATGCCTCTTTAAAGATATGTTTCTACAATGTCCTATACTTAACAAGTTTTGGGAGAAAATAGTGGACTATATAAATATGATTGTGCAACAAAAGTTAAAATGTTCAGAGGATTATTCTTTTGAACTCTATACCTAGTACATGGAATTTGATATCTGGACAATGTAAATGGAATCTCCATGCCCTTACTATGGCCAAAAAGCTGATATTGCAGTATTGGAAAGATAAAAGTATGGCCCCATTTATTCAATGGACTGAAGACCTGCTTGCGAGACCTGACTGCACTTGCCACTTATGAGCAGATCGCCTATAGACGTAGACTTTGTATTAGCAAGTATAATGAAATATAGGATTCATTTATACAAAATACAGTAGGTTAAAGAAAAACAACATGATAGTCATATAAAGCTATTAGAAATACATATGTATTGAATAATATTTGTATTAGGTAAGTATATATAGAATTGAAATTGTTTGTTATAATGATATATTAACACTCTTTTTCTTTTTTTTCACTTTTTTGTTAAACTACTTTCATGTATTTTTTTCTTCTTTTTGTAATCAAAAATTAAAGAAACAAATGAAATTTGAGAAGACATAATAAAAATGTAATCGTTTGTATAGACGTACAGACATAATCTCATATATTTGAAATTACTATACTGGGATATAAGATTATATTTGAATTTTTAGGTCAATAAATAATATTGGAACAACCTTTTCTGCCTTCTATTTCTTTGCTAAAATTAATGAATTACTTTCACTATGCTCATTAACATTATTGTGTATTATTATTTGCACTTTTATTGTCCTTCAATAAACTAAAGGCAATATGTACCCTCCATTTTAAATGCCTGCATAATTAAGTCTTGTTAAAAAAATGTATCTGCAATACTTAATTATTTTCTAAACATATTAAAATGTTCCATAATGAGGACTGGTCAGCTCTCAAGCTCTTCAACTGTACAATTTTAAAATTAAATTAGGTCCACAGAGAATGTTTTCCAGTGCTGATATTAATACATATTTACACAGATTTTTAAAAAACATGTCAATTTTACCTAGGAGAATGCTTATTCTGTTCCACTCTTTGTTCTCCTGGTAGTTAATTTTTCTGTGCCATTTTTTAATTATTATTTCTTGCCCTATCTATTGCCTATTTGATTTGTTCTGAAATTGCTGGAGAGGACCAAGCCAAATGTTTGAATGTAATGTTAATTTTGTTTTCTGACAAATGGAAATATTCCTGTCTTTAAACCTACTGTTTTACAGAAGCTTCATATACACCACTGTCTCCAGCCACAGACTCATCAGATACAGCGGCAGATACACAGCCTGCCTTCTCATCAAACAAATGAGTTCTTGTTCTTCTTGAAAAGTCAACACCTAGGTAAAGGAAAGGACAGAACCTTTATTTTAGGTTATATGAATAAGAAAAGAATTCTCAACTCATAGTCAAACTGAAATGGAAGATTCTGGGTCCCAAAAGAGTAATTTTCATCACAATCATAAGATGTATTGAAATAGTATTCAAACTTTTCAGATTTACAATGAGGTATATTTACCACTATGTGCATTTTACAAGGCTGAGAAAAGCAACAGCTGTTAAAATTATTGCAACTCTTAACAGTGAAGGAAATCTGTTGTCCACCCATCAATTTTTCTTTTTCTCAAAATCAAAAAAGCAAGAGAGTTCCCTTTAGAAGAAAGTACTAGTTGAGACAGGTCCCAGCATTAGGTAGAATAAGTTGGCAATTTCAGAGTGAGAGGCCATTTTCAGGGGCACCAGTGCTGAGCACAATGGGTTTTTTGGCAGCAGAGCTATCTTCAGTACAGTATGCAATCTGTCTTGTCTCCCCTATGTTAACCTGCTACATACATATATAGTTGTGAATTTTGCCCTATACTATTGAAATAAGGTTCAATTTCTTGATTTTTGCACACACAATAAATGAACATGCCTTGTTTTTATCTCAAGCCACAAAGCATTTTAAGTTGCAGTTCACCTCAGGCTCCAATCTACTGCTGAAATAGAAACATATATGCAATTTTGTATATTCTATTCAAAATTGCTGAACTTCTGAAATTTAAACAGTTATGGCTTAAAATGGCCCCCTAAGTTAAGTTCATCTTTATTCAGAAATCTTTCCCAGCTTTCAGTGTTGCCATGTCAGTCATATTTGAGAAACACTACAAAGTACAATGTTTGAGAGTCCTTACAAATGGAATGCCAGAGGTCATGCTAAACTAAAGCCTTCAGTTAGCTATGCCAACAACCAAATTAGACTCTAAATACTTCACGTTGTTGTTTTTTTAATTATCCCTTCTGAAATTTTTATAAAGTAAGAAACAAATCCCAATTCTGTCTTGGATTCAACGGTGATAGAGTCTAGGACAACTACCACTACAGTAAGAGAAAATTCAAGCTCCTTTCCCCTGATTTCAATATTCAATTCTTGCTAGTTTTCCTGCAGAAATCACAGAACATTCAATGTAAGCAGCACCTTGTAATGCATAACTTGTAAGCATATGGAGTCCTTTTATCTGTCAAGGAGCCAAATATATTGGTATGCATTACGCCCCCCTCCTGAGTCATGACTTTACATCTTGTTAAGATGTTTAAATTTTAAGGCTTCAGATTAGAGGATTGATTGCTGCATTTTTCCTTTCATTTATAGCAGTAGGGATGCTTTTTCCTTGATGATGAAGTGCTTTTTCTTTCACCACTTTGAGAGAGGTGAAGGTGATGACATGATTTATTGATTACTCTCAGGAATAAGCACAGTGGTCTCAAATCGACTTTGACAATGACAGAGACTATCTGTGAAAGAACTTTACAGTTATTCTAAATCTGTTATTCCAAAAGATATTCTGCACAGAAAAAAACTGTGCAGGGACCGAAACTGCCTCTGCCCCCAAGTAAAGATGCAGAGGAAAATACAAGCATGTATTACCAAAAGCTCTGTTCAAGCCAAGTCTCAAACTGACTGATTTCAATGGGAGAAAAACTGAAGCACAGGTTTTATTGCTCTACTGAAATCAATAGAGTTACAAGACCTATCTTTGAATCTGGACATAATCCAAACATTTACAGAACTGTTAGGAAGCTCTTCAATGCATTTGATTGATTATGAGACAGGCACTATGACAACCTTCCCCAACTTGGTGCCCTTTATATGCATTGGCACATACAGTCCATCAGCATGCCTGATTGAGAGCCTTGCAGGTTGGGGATGCCTGGAATTTTAAGTTGGGGAGATGCTATAATGAATTATTTTTCCAACGACAATTAAAGGACCCTCAGTGAATTCAAAAAATTAGAGTTTGTATAATGGAGGCTATACATTATAAACACAGAAGTCTCAAAGTAATTTCTTAATAACCCCCAAAATTCATACTGACATGAACCTACTGCTTAACATCCCAAAGTATATTACCTGACATGGTGGCTTTGTAATTTGGAGAACTGGATAAAATTAACAGATTTATACAACCAAATGTAATGGTTAATTGGAATGTATATACGTGCAATTGTACTGTTACATTCCAAATTGTTCTCTGACATTTCACTTTCTTCTCCCTCTTTGGTTAAGCTGTGATTTAAACTCAAATTAAAGGCAAGCAATATCCCATTTTGTAGTTTTCATGAACGATCATGGTTTTGTTTTGTTTTTACTATCTAGGCTAACCCACAGTTTAAGATTACCTGATGGTCTGTCTCCAAGAATTGGCTAGAGCTGGCCCTGCTTACCTTAAGGCACCAGGCTAAAAACTGGGAGACCATGAGTTCTAGTCTCACCTTAGGCATGAAGCCAGATGGGTGACTTTGAGGGTCCCTCCCTCTTAGCCCAGGAAGAAGGTAATGGTAAACCAATTCCAAAATTCTTGCCATGAAAACTGCAGGGACTAGTCCAGGCACTTGTTAGGAGTCAATACTGTCTCAAAGCCCCCTCCCCCTAAAAGTTGACCAGGTGCTGCCAACTGATGTGACAATTACATAATAACAATTCAGAACATATCCTTTCTTATTATGTTCTAAATAGTGTTTTGAAAAACTAATTTATTATTTATTTTACATGGTTTTATAGTTTTATATTTTTGAATGAATGTTCACCAGTGGGATAACTCTCCAAAACCTGAGGATGGGACCAAACATTTGGTATGTTCAGGGGGAAGAGTCAGCAAAAGATCAAGTTAAAAAATAAGCTTGATGTGGCCAAGAGCAATGGGGAAAATTTATTTATTTAATGTGCCTTCATTTCAGTGTTGATTCCTGGCAACTGCCTGGACATGTCCCTGTAGTGTATTTGGTAAGATTTCAGAAGTGGTTTCTCATTGCCTACTTCCTAGGGCTGAGAGAGAAGGACTGGCCCAAGGTCACCCAGCTGGCTTTGTGCCTAAGG